TATGGCTCTGATGGCCTCTCCTGTGTCCCCTTATCCCAGGTGCTAAGTGGTCTCTGTTCCCTTAAAATAACTGTTTTGTGATGTCATTGGTCGCTTTTTTAAAATCCCCTCATCCCTCTTCTTTTCTCTCTGCTAAAGCGCAGCCTTACCATCTCCTTTTAAGAACAGAAGTCTTTTCTTTCTGCCTCTTAAAGTCAGTAGCTGGTTTGTTACCCAATAACAAAAGCCCACAATATCCTGACCTCAAAGACTAGGAAGGGAGGTGGTACTAAGGTCAGGGATTGGGAGTCTTAGAGAGCAAGCAGCACATTGTCATCTCTCTGAAAAGTAAATTTCCAGTAGCTAGCAAAAGATTTATAAATGCTGAAATCTATTAGTCTACTAATTCCTTTCATACAATCAAAGATCTGTGCAAAGATTTATGTTCATCATAGTGTCATTCCTTGTAGTGAAAAACATGGGAGTAGCACCCATGCCTGTCAGTAGGGCTTGGATGGACAAAGTCTATTGTTGAGTCCTATGCAATCATTCAAAATCATGTTTGATTATAATAGATGAGAAAATTATCATACTATAATGCTAATTGAAAAAAGAAGATATAAAACTGTATATATGTTCTGATCTCAAATTTTTTAAAAATAAAAATTTTTTTATATATAAACATATATATATGTTTATCTTTAAAAATAAAAATCTGTTTAACTCTGAAATTTGTCTTTTTGACTTAAGGCTATATTATGGACATCCTTTTAGGATCATATTTATAGAATTCACTCATTCTTTAAAATTTTTTTTTATTATACTTTAAGTTCTAGGGTACATGTGCACAACGTGCAGGTTTGTTACATATGTATACATGTGCCACGTTGGTGTGCCGCACCCATTAACTCGTCATTTACATTAGGTATATCTCCTAATGCTATCCCTACCCCCTCCCCGCTCCCGACAATAGGACCCAGTGTGTGATGTTCCCCTTCCTGTGTCCGAGTGATCTCATTGTTCAGTTCCCACCTATGAGTGAGAACATGCGGTGTTTGGTTTTCTGTTCTTGCGATAGTTTGCTGAGAATGATGGTTTCCAGCTGCATCCATGTCCCTACAAAGGACACAAACTCATCCTTTTTTATGTCATTCTTTTAAATTATATAATATTTTATTGTATGGCTGAATTGAAATTTATTGAACCATTTTCTTATTGATGAAATTCAAGTGCTTTTAGGTTTTGTTCACTTTTTAAAATTGTAAATGGACAATTTATAATTATATAGAGCTATGGGGTAAAAAGCACTGTTATGATTTATGAATACAATGTGAAATAATTAAATCAAGCTAGTTAACATACTCATCATCTCAAATAATTAACATATTTTGTGGTGAGACCATTTGAAATTTACTCTCTTAGCAATTTTGAAATGTGAATTACTCTATTATTAACTAGATTCACCATACTGTGTAATAAAACTCCGAAAAAGAAAAAAGCAACATATTCATCCTATCTAACTGAAATTTTACTCCCTCTAACCATCGCTCTCTCCTTTCTCCCCACCCCCTAGCATCTGTAACCACCATTCTACTCTCTGCTTCTACAAGTTTGATTGTTTTAGATTCCACATATATGTGAGAATATGCAGTATTTGTCTTTCTGTGCCTGTCTTATTTCACTTAGCATCATGTTCTCCAATTCCATCAATGTTGTTGCAGATAACAGAGTTTTCTTCTTCTTAAATACTGAATGGTATTCTGTTGTGTATATATGCCACATTTCCCTTATTCACTTCTCTGTTGATGGACACTTAGGTTGATTCTATAACTTGGCTATTATGAATAGTGCTGCAATGAATATGGGGGTGCAGGCATCTCTTTAACAAACTGATTTCACATCTTTTGGGTAAATACTCAGAAGTGGTATTGCTGGATCATATAGTAATTCTATTTTTAGTTTTGGAGACACCTCTAAAATGTTGTCCATAATGGTTGTACTAATTCATATTTCTACCAACAGTGCACAATGGTTCGCTTTCTGCCACATTCTTGCTGACATTTATTATCTTTGTCTTTTTGACAAAAGCCATTCTGGCAAATCCGAGATGTATCTCATTGTGATTTTAACTTGCATTTTCCTAATAATTAGAAATGTTGAACATTTTTCCACTTACCTGTTGGCCATTCGTATGTCTTCTTTTGAGAAATGTCTACTCTTATGTATTTTTTTTTAAAAAAGTATGCTCATGGCAGAAAATAACTTCAGTGTTAAACCACAGTTGTCTCTGGGAGGTTGAATATTGTGTAATTAAAACATCTTTAATTTTAAAAGGTGTATTTTTCATGTTTTCTATAATGAGTATCTTTCTTCTAGAATCAGAAAAATATACAAATAATTTAAAACAAATGCCTTGAAAAATGAACAATCTTACCTAGTATTCAAAGAAATGCAAATTAAAATGTTATTTTTGTTTCTATCTCAGTAAATAAGGAAATATGGAGTAAAAGAGTAATCTTCCTGCTGAGCATGTTTTGCGGTTGCTAGCATTGCCCTGCTGCCGCTGCCCCGGGTGTGTCTGGAGGAACTCTCCCTGTTGCCTAATAACTGCTGTAATGTAACAGAAATAGAAACATGATGCCTCATATCCCTCAGAAAACGACTTGGCCCTTGGCCCTCCTGTGGATGGAGAGTATATTGAAGAGAAACCAGATATTTCTAAATTTGCTAAAACTCGCTTTTCTCACTTGCTCTCAGATCACACTACTCTTGAGTAGCCCAAAATTTTGTTGCCAACTCAGCAAGTTAAGCAAACAATATTACAAGTCATGTTGAAACTGAAGTGGTCCCCGTGGGCCAGTGAGTACCGTGCAAGTGGAGAAAAAAATAGCTGCTGAGTTAAGAGAACTGCTCCAATTTTGAAGGCACAAATGGGCATCATCTTGGGCCCAAGTACTACCCAAGGTGGACCTCTCAGTCAGGCTCTTATGCTCCCAGGTGTTGTTGTTGACCTTTGAGGCCAGAGGTGAACTCTCTCCCTGGATGCTCAGGGACAGCATCTCAGAGAGAGATGAATGGAAAAACCATGAGACCCTGTACACACTCTAGGTACAATGGGTTACAAGGGTTGATAGCTCTTCTTAGTAATGAAAGCAAATATGCTCCATCTTTCTTGATGGCAAGGTCCCTGGGAAGGAGACGCTCTCTTAGAATGTCATTAAATGACCGTAGATAAGCATGAAGTGAGTGGAATTATGTGGAAGGGCTTCAGCATTCTGCCCAAGCACTGGGCAGCCCCTGGGTATGGCTGTCCCTCCACCATGGCCAGCCTGTCTAAGGCTTGGCCCACCCACCCAGATCCTCTTGGAAGCCACCGATAGCATTTGCCTCTGGGAATTCTGCAGCCTTTGCTGATGAGTCTCAGTTGACACCATCTGTCATTGCAGATACAGATGTCTCCAAACGGCAATTGCCAAAGGCTGTGCCACACAGCACACACCTGTCCATGTGCAGACTGATGCTGTTAAACTCTGCAGCTACCTTGCGGGCTGCTCTTCCCTGTCTCATTGTCTGCCTGCAGACCTTCCTTCTGTGTTCTCTGCTTTTAGAGGCCAGATTGATCTGTATTTTTATCAAGATGAGGAAGGAGATGGTAGACTGAATCTACCTCTCCCAGTAATTCACTGTGGTACCTTGGGCCACCTGCTGGCCTTCTCTGAGCCTCCGTTTTCTTACCCACAAAATGTGGATTTGGACCCAGTTATCTCCAACCACCCAAGAGTCTGCGATTCTGCTACTAAGAAAAGCAAAAGGAAAGGACAAGACAGCATGTGTTTAGTTGCTGGGAAAAGCTCAGTCTAATAATAAAAATAATAAGTATAAAAATAATTGCCACCATTCATTCGAGCTTGCTTTGCCAGGTCTGCACTGTGATCTTTGCAGGGGTAATCTTACTGAATCCTCTGCTCCAACCCTACCAGGTGGGAACTACTTTTACCTTTATTTTTCTGATGAGGAGACTGAGCCTCAGAGATGTTAAATAACCTGCCAAAGCAGAGAGTTAACGTGCTGGGATTCATCACAGACAGATCCTTCTGCTCTTGGGAAGCCCAGAGCTCAGAAGCAGGAGTGGGTCTGATTCAGGTGTGCTTTGAGGGCCAACTGCCCTTTCCAAAAATGCCTTCCTTTATTTAGACACCAACATCCTTGCTATTTTGGATTTTTCAATGAGCTTCCTTATTTTCTTCCTATTCTGTTCTATTCAGAAAAATGAATGAATGAATAAATATAGATTACTAATGATACAAATTTAATTTTCTTCTAGAAATGAAAGTGTTTGTTTCTCTTCTTTTATTTCTCAAGCCAAAGTAATTATTTCCTCCTTCTTGGAAGTCCAGAAATAGTTTAAACTTTAATTAAAAGTCTTATGTTTCAACAGTTGGAATGAGGATCAGGTAATAATGAAGAAACTCCGTGAACACCCCGAGGAGAACCAGCACCCCCTCCATTGGTTATTTTAGCTCAGCCCACAGCTAACATATCAGCTCAGAAGGTTCCTACCACCCACTCCACTTCCAACGCCTTTTAATATTCACACAGAGTTTTCTCACATTGTGAGATCCTCATGCTCTCACACACTTCCTTTATACATGCCGTTTCCTCAGCCTTGAATGCCACCTTTCTTTACCTGGAGAACACCTTTCCCTTAAAGACTCAGGTCAGAAGTCACACAGTACTCCTGTGCTACCACCTAATGCAAAGTGTGATTATTCCTCTACTTCTCTTCTGCATTTAAATGTTAAATTATTGAGGGAAGAGGCCTGGTCTCATCGTTTTTGGAATAGCTCTGGATGTGCATTCCCATTTTGTATATAATACAACTCAGTAAAGGTTGTGTAATATTGACTTTCATATGTGTGTATCCAAAGCTAACATGTTCCCATGCCCTTTGACTCAGTTTTCCCCATGGCAATGAATTTAACCACAGGAAATAATTGAATGGGAGAAAGAAAGTTATACAGATGGAAGTTCTATAAAATATGTATTTGCTAAACATTGGAAACAAGTTAAATGTTTACCAATACAGTAATGGCAAGTAAATTGGGGTACATGATCTTGAAGGAGCATGACTTATTCTCTCATTCATTATACAAACATGAAGACTGCCAAAGAGCTATCAGATACACAGCAATTTATCAGATACCACATCTGCCTTCAATGAATACACAGTCTGGTAGAGTCTTCTAAAATGATAATTACCAAACTACATAGAAAGCGAGCACTATTTGTGGTCAAATGTGAAGAAGAGAACAAATCAGATTATAAAACCATCTGTACATGACGACTGCAACTCTAAACATGTGAGAGTGTGAACAAAGTCTGGATGGGTGAATACAGGAATGACAATATTGATGTGGTTAGATTGGATGACATTTTCTTTAGCATTATTACAATTGGTTTTCAAGCTTTAAAGCTTTAGATTGTTTCAAACGTTTCTAGGGGGGAAAAAAAGCTACTCCCATGACCCTGGCTCCCCAGGTTGGGAGTGGCATGAATGACGGCGTATGTTTCCAGATGGGCAGGGGCTTGCCACAAGGTGATTGGGAGGGGATATTCAAGACAGTCCAGGAGAGTCGGGTTAGGGAAGGCTATCACTCTGTAGACTTGGGAGTGCTCACTGGGTGCCATCGTAAGAAACAGCCTCTTCTGTGTCTGTGCTATGCCACGCAGCAGCACCTGCAGGCTTCTCTAAGTTTTGTCAGCACCACAACTTGGGCATAGCACAGCAATGCCAGGTGTGGGGGAAGCAGAAGTCTAAGAAGCAGACAAAAAGGTTGAGACCTGCAAGAGTTGGTGGCTAGTTCCTTCTGCTGGAAAGGATGATCTCTATGTGAAAGGCTTATCCCTCTTCTATAGACAAGGAAACTGAAGCTCAATTAGTCCCAAGCTACCAGAATTGGGGTTGGAATCCATCCCTTCTTATTTGGGGGCAGGGTTTTTCTGTTTCCCCTACTGGCCTGGGAGCAGGTGGAGATGCATTAGGTCGTATGGAAGAGACAGGCTGATAGGATGGGTGGAGCCCTTTGGGAAGGAGGCGGCAATGGGGAATCTGTTGGTAGGATCCCATGATGGAGGTATGAGAAGCCAAGCATTTGAATTTTGACTCAATGCAGTAGGCAGTGGGGAGCCCTTATAGGTTTGGGGATGTGATGGAGGAGGGCTTAATGAAAATGATGCTGGTGTAATCAGGGGAGAGGCTGGGTCAGGCACATGGTAAGGGTGGTGTGTGGCATTTGTTCTGTGTCATCAAAACAGTGCAAATTCAACTTCTTGGAAATATGTACTTCTGCTTATCTGTCAGTGAGATTGGACTGGAAGCTTCCGTCTTACATATCCCTTCCCCATGGATAACAGCACCGTCCAGGGATGGACACCTGATACAAACTTGGCCTATCAGAGCACTTCCCTGGGAATTTTGCCCTTGGGACCAGAGAAGCATGGGTGTCAGCCCCTCTCTGGTGGTAAAACTGTGTCATGTAAGTCTGGGGGATCTATAATAACTCAAAGATTTGAGTGTCAGAGAGAGGGAATTCTAGCTAGGTGCAGGCCCTGGTTTCCCCTCACTTTGAGGGCTCAGACACACTTTTGTTATGCCACAATATGAACAATATTCACCCCCCGGCCTTTTAACTAAACTAGGCTGAATTGAATTTTTGTCATCTGCAAACCAAAAAGTTCTGATGACATTTGCAGTAAGGGAGTTCAATTTGTTCATTGTTCAAATTTTGAGCACAATTCTCAACAACACTCGAGGGTGGTTTTGTGTGCATTGGGTCCACCACTTTGTGCCTGTAAGAAACAACAACAAAAATCTTTCCTGACTATTCAGCATCAGGTTCAGGAACTCCAGGTTCTCTGTAGACACAAGGCTTTGGGAGTCCCTTCAGAGAAGGAGGGACGCATCTCCGTCACTCGTGTGGTAAGTAAAATTGCTACTCAGAACACTTCCCTGCCTGCTCCTTTGTGATTCAGATGGGGAGAAATCAACATGGACTGAGCGCCCACACAGGACAGCCAGGCATTTCCCATACAGGTGGTAAAGGTATCTTCTGAACTTCTCCCCAGCAAATGCATAGATGAGAGGATTCAGGCAACAATGGCTAAATGCAACTGTCTCGGTCACACTGAGGGCCAGCCTCAGATCCCTCCTCATGTCACAACTGGGAAAGAAGTCGTAGAGCTTAAGCGTCTCCAGGAAAATCATAACGTTGTAGGGTGTCCAGAAGAGGAAAAACACGACGACCACCAGAAGGATCAGTTTGATGGCTTTGGCTTTTTTGTGGTTCTTGCAGGAAAACAGCGTCTGGATGATTCTGAAGTAGCAGTAACTCATAATGAGCAGGGGAAGTAGGAAGCCAAGAAAATTTGCTTCCACATTGCGGAGCACGGGCCAGATTTCCTGGAGGACCTCAGGGTAGTCACCAAGGCATTCGTTTTCTTTCTGCTTTGTGAACATGAACTGGGGTGCTGCCACCAAAATGGCTGCTGCCCAGACACCTAGGCTGATGGTGACGCCATGCTGCACGGTCCGGTTGTTGATGGAGTTGGCGGCCAGGACGATGGCCAGGTACCTATCAATGCTGATGATGGTGATGAAGAATATGCTTCCAAAAAAGCCGATGAAGAAGAAGGCAGTAGTGAATTTGCACATGGCGTTTTGGAGGCCCTCTTCATTTATCACATAGTGAGTCCAGAAGGGCAAGGTGGCTACAAACAGCAGATCAGACAAGGCCAGGTTCAGGAGGTAAATGTCGGTAACACTCTTGGGCTTCTTGCTGTTGGTGAGGGCAAACACTACCAACAAATTTCCCACCAAGCCAATGGCAAAGACAACGGAGTAGAATATGGACAGGAACACTGTCCCAAAGGCCACGATGTCCCCAATATAACAGGCTTCAGCCGAATCATCGTACTCAAAGTTTTCTGTAACTGATTCAGGGAACGGATCCATGGTGACAGCCTGGATCAGAAAGAAAAACAAGTAACTGTGTTAGTTCTCAGAGAAACAAAGTTGGAATTCTGTGTGGCCTCATATGTAGGCAGGCAGGAAGAAACAAATATTGGTTGGGTGCACACTACATTTCCCAGCTTCCCATTTGCCATGTTGTTTAATCCCCACAACAGTCTTGTGATGAAGACTGCAACAGACTCTTTTGACAGGATAGGCAGACTCCTTTGACTTGCCCAAAGGCATGCAGTAAATGACTCCGTGAGCATTTGGCTCTAGGCTTTTTTTTTTTTTTTTTAAAGATGGAGTCTCACTGTGTCACCCAGGCTGGAGTGCAGGGGTGCGATCTCAGCTCACAGAAACCTCTGCCCCCTGGGGTTCAAACAATTCCTCTGCCTCAGTCTCCCAAATAGCTGGGATTACAGGTGTGCACTACCATGCCTGGTTAATTTTTGTACTTTTAGTAGAGATGGGGTTTCATCATGTTAGCCAGGCTGGTCTTGAACTCCTGACCTCAGATGATTCACCTGCCTCAGCCTCCCAACATGCTAGGATTACAGGCGTGAGCCACAGCGCCCGGCCAGCTCTAGGCTTTTTGAAGCTTAAGACAGATCTGTTTTTCTTTGACTGTCCAAAGTCTCTCCAAAAGCTAGCTAGTTTGACCAATGTGTGGATGAGAAAGGGAGAGCCATGAGCAGGAGGCAGGGGTGAGATGGGGTGACTTGGGGGTGCAGCTGTAATTCACACTTCCAGTCCAAACTTCCCCAAAGCAATTCTCCATCCTCTTCCTTTATTTCCACCTTTTCCAGTCTCTGGCCCCTTGCTTTTCCACGAAGGTAGGCCTGGAGAGAGAAGCTTCAGACCCAGAGCCTTGGGGAGAACAGCACCGGGAAGCCCTCATCTTTGTTTTTTGAGAACCATTTCACTTTCTCTTCTCCTTATAACCAACAAGTCCTTCTCTTTCTTAGCAGGTATCAGACAGTCATACACTCCAGAGTGACTACCTTATTTTGGGTTGCCCAGGACTTTCCTGGTTTTAGCCCTGAAAGTCCCACCTATTGGGAACCCCCCACTCCTAGGCAAATCAGGACTGTTGGTCATCCTACAACCCTAAGTGAAGAGGAGGTGTTGCCATCATTCAGGGCTCTGCAGTCACAGAGGGGCTGGCTGATCCAAGATGGAGGATGGGGCTCCGATGTCTACTGGTCTAGGCTCCGAGTGACTAACCTTACCATTACCAGCCCTATATTTCACTTTGGTCTGGTCTTCCCCACTACTCTCATCTCCTGTTACCTTCTGAGCAAGAACTGAAAAAAGAAGACACTTCTGCAGGCTGCACTCCCCTTCTTTTCATAGCCAGGACTTGGTCATTCACTCCAGAGCTGGCTGGGAGGCAGCCCCTTCACACTGCTCCTCTGGGTGTCTCCTCCTCCCTTCCTCATGATACCACAGATGCAGATGGGTCCCTCAGAAACCCTCAAAACAGGCCTCCTGGTTGTCACCACCTCCCTCTTTACCACAACTTATAGCAAAGCCTCACGCTTTAACCGAGGGAGTTTCCACGCCCCACTATACCCTTTCCATGATGGTTTTACCCAGGCGGCGTCTCACCAAGATGAGGCCCACCCAGCCAGGGTGTCACTTCTCCCTTCCCAGCCTCTTCTCACCCAGAATCTCCTGGGATAAGTGGGCTGGGGCTTTACGACCCAAGCTGTCTCAGGCTGTGATGAGTTCTCAACCCCAGGGAACGTGTATGCTTTCTCTGCTTTAGGCTGCAATGCCCTTTTCTCAGATAATAATCTCTGGTTGTGACATTAATTAATAATATTTAAGTCGAATGATATAAAATGGCTGACATGCAGCTATTTTTGAGCCACATCCATGTCAGTTTCATATGACTCAAGCTATATGTGGGGAAACAGAAATTGCTACTTAGTGCCTGTTGCTTGTCACAGAGCATGATCTTCCCAGACACACTGCTGTATGAGTAAAAATAGTCAAGTCCTTGGTGGTTCTATGTTAGGGACCCTGGAGCTAGCTACTTTCTCCCTCCCCTTCCCCCAGTGAGAAGAGCTGGCAAAGCTGACCTCAAATCCAATAAAAATTGTCCTGCATCTCTTCACGTGCCTGTGGTCAGTCCTTCAGCCCAGGAACTTCTGTGGACTCGGGCACTTGCGAGATTGAATCCTGCATCTGTCCTCTCTGGCTGAGTGATGGGTGAACTTGAAACTTCTGAGCCTAACATTCTTTGTCTGTAAGATTGGGATTCATTCTCATGCCTGCACACAGAACTGTTTTAGGGGGAGCACCTGGCACAGTGTGTCGCATACAGCAAGCACTTAATACATGTTCAATTTGTTTCCTGCATTATGTGAGGAAGCAGAAGCCCTTTGGATCTTTGGAATCATCAAGGCTGCCTGTGGACTCCCATGTTCCACCTGTACCCTGGGTATCCTGGGAATTTGATCTTTAAAGGTCACTTTATTTCCCCTCCCCGCTGAAATAAGACATACTTTCTTTTTAGATTATTTTGGGGGAGGGGAACTAAGCCGCCCTTTATTGAGCTTTTACTAAACTGTCAGACTTACTGCTCTACTTGGATCATTATTGATCTAATCCTTTCTGCAATTCTGAAAAAAAAAAAAAAGGTTCTATATTTAATTCACTGCCCTGCTGAATGGCTCTGGGGATATTCATGATGAGAGGAAGGAATGGGACAAATGTGGAGAAGGCAGGGAAGTTAGAAATAAGCAACTGACTTTCTGGTTGAGTGGCAGAGGGGTCCCAAGTCAGGCCCTTTACCTTACTGGGTGCCTGGGCTCAGGGCTGCCAGGTGCACAGGAACATCTCTAATGTGCACCAAGTCTCCATATAAGCCTCGGGTGGCCCTGGCTTGGCGGGGAGCTCATGAAAAGATCAGTCAAGCACAGTCTAAGCCAGGAAGGAGCTTGTCTTCTCAATGGGGAAAGTTCACATAAAAACTTTGGTTAAGGCAGAATGGAAGAAGTGGGTCAATGTATCCTCTGAAGATGGGATGCAAATTCAGGTCATGCTCTGGGCGGGATGGTGTTGCCTGACACGTGGTGGTATTATGTATGAGAGCCAAATGGCTGGTTATGGGCACCCATCTGGCTTGGGACTGCTCCCTGACATCCAAGGGGTCTGCTCGGTGTGGGCAGAAGAACACTCTGCAGCCCTCATCCTAGCTCCCTGCTGTCTCAGAGTCCCCCGTGAAGACCCTAGAATTGCCATGCCTCCCACAGGAGTCTCTCGGTGCTGGCACAGTGCGTGCATGCAGTGGGTACTCACCCAGCATACTGTGGTCCCTGCTACCAGTCATCTGGACCATACTACAGAGGAAAGAGTGGTACAGATACCGCTTTCTACGAGTTCCCACGTGATTCTGAGGATCAGCACTGGTCATTGAGGGACATTGTTGACCTTCATATCACATTTCCATTTTGCACACATCATGCCTCACAGGAGGCACAGCTAGGTGAAGCACCTGGCCCGTCCCACAGCTGGAAGCACGGGGAGCGGGACTGAGGCCAAGGCCTGTGCTCTTCCCACTCTCCCTTGAAGATGGAGGCGACTCGGGCCCTGGGCTTAGGGTTCAAATCCTGGCAGGGAGAAGGACACAATGACTACCAAACAGTTGAGTCCCAAATCCAGTGGTAAAAAGGCATCAAAACAACAGCCTTAGCTTTCTCCTCTAAAAAATAACCTCTTAGGTTTTTTGAGAGCATAAGAATTAAATTAGTTTAAATTGCTTATTGGGATTTATCACAGACACACAGATGCTAAAGCAAGTGTGTACACTGTCACTGCAGCAAGCTTCAAATATAAATGAAGGGAAACAACCCCAATGTCCATCACTAGGGACAGATCAAAGTACGATAAGTCCAATTAATGGAATACCAAGCAGCTGCTTAAAAACACAGTTTCCAGCCCTTGGAAATTTGGGAAAAACAACAAAAACAGGCAAATCTATATGTTCTGTTATGGAACAATCTCTAAGATACACTGGTAAATGAAAAAAGCTAGGTGAGGTACCATGTACATAGTATGCTGTCATTTGTGGAAAATAATGATGTGTGCATATTTTGTACGAGGTTTAAATATCTCTTAAGGAATACACTGGTGGTGGTAATAGTAATTATCCCTGGAGAGGGATTCTGAAGGCCTGAGGATGTGGGAAAGGAGACAGTTTTTATGGTAAACTTTTGGAAATGTTTTTTACCATGGACACATATTACCTATTTTGGAAAATAGTTTAATTAATTCATTTGGAATTTTAAAATAAAAATAAACAAAAATACGAGTTATATGAAAAACAAAAAATAAGTAACTTAGTACAATAACAAGCATGCTGCACATACTTAATAAGTGGTGCCAACATATAAAAGAATCATCTCTATTTTATGGGCGAGTAGATGAACTCAGAGAGGGTGAATAACTTGTTCAAGGTGATGCAGTGTGTGCAATAGGGCTGCAGAGGGCCCAGATGTGTTCGGCCTCAGCACTTTTTTTTAACTTCACATTACACCCCTTCCCCGTTCCTCTTTCCCAAAACTAGGAGTCCCTAAGAGAAGACCTATGTCCTCTTCAGCTCTGTAGGCCAATGTTCAACAGAAGGCCTGGTTCACAGTGAATGCCATATGAATATTTGCAGAAGGGTAAATACTATTCCCTAGATCTTTGTTCCGAAGAGTTTCATCCAGTAGTGATGAAAGCACCCTATCAGTCACCCTGATCTCAGGGGTGCTCATGAGCGCACAGGTGTCCTTTCTGATCATAGGCTAGGAAGCCTTGAACTCTGAGAAGTTAGTAGGTGCCTGATGCGTCGAATGAATGAATAAATAAGTGAATGAAAGACTTCAAGGAGCAAGAAAAGAGATTCGTCAGCTCTATAATGTGGAGCCCCAGGAGATGAGCAGAGGCTCACCAGCTCTCCACAGTCAGAAAACAACTTGGAAAACACAACCTCTCATTTCAACCATGCCTCTCACATG